TCGGTGACATTAACGATAACCATATCGCCGTTGATGTGAATACACCTACATCTTTGGCTTCTGTGGATGCTGGGTCGAGGGGCATTGTTCTGAAAAATGGGAGACAGGTTACTGTTTGGATCGAGTACAGGGACGACTCCAAGATGATCCGGGTCTGGGTCGGGTATTCGCAGACCCGACCCGCAAACCCAATTCTGGTTTCGCAGATTGACCTCTCCAGGCAATTCAAGGAGTTCATGTATGTGGGGTTCTCTGCCTCCAATGGACAGGGCTCTGCACTTTACATGGTCCATAGATGGCGCTTCAAAACTTTTGGGTTAGTCCCTTCTCTCATTCCTGTTGACACGGTTAATGGAGGAGACTGTTTCATGTGCTCGACGGAGGATTCGAGCGCTAACAACAGTCGGATCGTTGATCCTCGGAAAAGGAGGAAGAAGATTGGAGAGATGGCCCTTGGTTTGGGAGGTTTAGCTGCATTTTTGTGCTCCATTGTTGCAATTGTTGGTTTGGCTACCTTTGTTTTGATAAAGAAACTGAGAGGTAGAATGAGAAGAGGCAGAGGAAGCGATAGAACCTGTGAAGTTGAGATGAACAGGGTTCCAACAAGATTGTCTCTGGGGGAGATAAAGTCGGCTACAATGGGGTTTAATCAAAACAGAGTTGTTGGGGAAGGTGGTTCTGCAGTTGTCTACAAAGGGTCTCTTCCGTCTGGTGGGGACGTGGCTGTTAAGCGGTTTGAGCGATCGGGAAACGATCGTCTCTGCAATCCTTTCACCACGGAGTTCGCAACAATGGTGGGTTGCTTAAGACACAAGAATTTGGTTCAGCTTTATGGATGGTGCTGCGAGGCAAATGAGTTGGTCCTTGTTTATGAGTACTTGCCCAATGGAAGCCTTGCCAAACTACTTCACAAGAGCTCCTCCAATTCACTGTTTATCCTTCCTTGGAAGAAGAGATTCTCCATAGTTCTTGGAGTTGCTTCAGCCCTGACTTATCTTCATGAAGAGTGTGAGAGCCAAGTTATCCACAGAGACGTCAAGACCTGCAACATCATGCTTGATGCAGAGTTCAACGCAAAACTAGGGGATTTCGGTTTAGCAGAAGTGTATGAACACAGCTCGATCACTAGGGAAGCAACCATACCAGCGGGGACAATGGGATATCTTGCCCCTGAATATGTTTATTCTGGCGTTCCTACCGTCAAAACTGACGTTTACAGCTTCGGCGTGGTGTTGCTTGAAGTTGCATCGGGAAGGAGGCCAGTAAACGACGACGGGACGGTGCTTGTCGATTGGGTTTGGGATCTATGGGAAATTGGGAGACTGATTGAAGCTTCTGATTCAAGGTTGATGGGAAAGTACAATATAGTAGAAATGGAGAGAATGCTAATGGTAGGACTTTTCTGTGTACACCCAAATCATGAAAATAGGCCAACTGTGAAAGAGGCTGCAAGGATTCTTAGAGGGGAAGCACCACTCCCTCCACTGCCATCAAGGAAACCAAGAGTAAGCATCAGGCCCGTTTTCGATCCCGACGATGTCGAAGACGTTGAGAATTATTGTGGCAGTTATCTCGGGCTCGATGAGTCGGCATGGATGACCCCCAAGAGCCAATTTAGCTAGCTGAACCAGAAAGTGATCAAAGACTTCAAATGTTGCCAATGAAGAAGCAGTCACCTTGGGACATTGTATGGTTTCTGGTCAAACTTCAAGGAAGTGTCTTAAAAGGGAAGACAGGTATGTTTTTGTTTGGTATCAGAAGATATTCCTACATTAAAGAAGACAATGATAGCTTCACTTTCACATCACATGAATAAGAATTCAAACCAGAATAATGGTGTTAGATAGATTTGTTGTAGACTTGTAGGCCCCAAAACTGAATTTATTCATGAAATATTCAAACAGATTGACCCCAAAAACGCACACATATAAATGGTTAAGTAAAGTGTAGCAATGGGCTTCTCTTGCTTCTCTCTTTTCATCTTTGAAACTTTCCAATTTATATATACTGTCTTTTTTTGACTTTTACATGAGTGAATTTCCTTCTCTAAATAGTTTGGATGCCATATAAACGCGTCATGACTGCGTCTAAATAACTCAATTCTGCAAATTGTTCAAAGAAATTTCTTCAAGTTGTGGCTCTGTTTCAAGTCAACCATTATTATTGCAATTTGGAGACACTTTTCTTTCTTTCTTTTCACCATTTTTGTGGGTTTTCTCTCTTTAAAAAGATACGCAAAAAGAGCTTCTGATTACACAACTACTCCCACTTGAAACCATACAGAAAAATGGGGGGCAACTGGCAAGTCTCATTTTATCATTATACTCAACTTTATAGACTTTGCATCATAAAGAAAGATTGAAGATGTGGGTCTTATCTTATTTAGGGTTCTCTTTTTCAACTGCAATAATCTTCACCTTTTCACATAAAATAAAGTTTATGATCTTCTAGATTACAAAATTTTAGCTGTTTTTTTTCCCTAATATTCTATGAGGGTCAGTAAGACCTACACAAATGTGTACTTGAAGACTTTAATTTGTGAAACTTATTTCGTTTATGAATTAATACGACACTTCACTCAATTTTTTTTTTCTGAAATAGAGTCATGTATTAGGTATTAAATGTTTTAAAAATTTTCAAATAAAGATTAAACGTAATTAAAATGAACGTTTTGAAAATATAGAGACTAAAATGAATATAAAATAAAAGATATTCAAAATCTATTTTTTAAAATTTTATTTTGGAAGTTCTGTACAAACTAAAAGTGCATTTTTGTCGTTGATGTCTGGATGTATTTTACAAAATTTTGAGAATAAATTAAAATGTTTGGTATTTCGAAGACTACGTTTGAAACCAAACCATAATTTATGACAAAAAAAAAATGGTGCTCATTTTTATTTGGCCTCTTCGTACAAATTGTTATTTTTCTTTGTTAGTTTTTATAGAAATGGTATAATCCCTGTTGTTTATTGACAATAATAAAAATGAAAAAGCATCGAAATGGAAAGCAATATAAATGATAATGACATTCATTTTCATTTTTGAATTTACTTAAAGTGTTTGAATTTGACATTCAATTTCTATTCATATTGTTTACTTGCGTATATAATAAGAATTATACATATTATAATTACACCATATCCTTTTCACATCTCTGATCAATTAAAAACACATCAATGAAAAAGGATGTGTGCATACAATAAAGAACAATTCTTGATAATGAATTTAAATTTAATTTATTTGAGAGTTATAAATTTTTATCTTAACAACTTATTTGGTAGTTAAAAATATCAACTCAGTAAAATTAAGTAATTGGTCAATTAGATAGAAGTTGGTGGCATTTCTAGTAAAAGCATGTCTATATATATATATATATATATATATATTCAACAAAACACGAAAGAAACTAAAAACGAGGACCCTAAGCGTCCGATAGTCGTCTTCCCAAGAAGAAGAGGGGAGAGACATTCCTCCAACCACACTCCAGAAACCTCATCATCCACAGCCATCCTTACTAATGCATGAGCAAGGTCAAGGGTAATAAGAAAAGCTTGTAAATTTCAGGAATCGTGTAAGATCAACAATCTCTTTCACCAACCAATCAAGCTCCGAATCGTCAGACTGAGAGTTCTTAATCTTCATGATCACCTGAAGAGAATCCGACACCACCTCCAAATTAAAGAAACCAAGCTCAATCACTTCTGTCAATCTATTAAAAAGGAAGAAAAAAGCAAATAACATTTTTAATTAAATGACCAATTATTAATAGAAAATGCTATTTGTTTTTATTGCTATGTTATCTAAATAASGACAATAGTGAACTAGATGGAAGAGAGATGACAGAAGAAATGTAAAATGTCATGTTTGATACGCAATCGTTTCTTGTTTTTAGATTCATTGGATCAAATAGATTCTATAATTTTAYAGATTTGTATCTTAAAATTGCTTGTGAATTATGTGATCCAAATTTAGAATATTTTCAAATATTAATTTTGGATAGAATTACATTWAAAAAATGTGATACATATACTCTTTCATTTTATAAGCTCATTTATTATTATTTTTTTGGTTCAAAAGCTCATTTAATTTTTGTTCAAATTAAATCATGTAAAGATAATATATTATAAATTATATAATAGTGTAGAGTAATAATTATATAAAATTTTATAATAAATATGTTAATAAATAAATTAAAAATATTTTAGATTCAACTRATTAGTTGGGATCTAATCAGAAATTTTTCAAAACACACCTAAATTTCCTAGGTTAAAATTTAAGATCCAAACTTCACAATTTCTCCTTCTTCTTTTTATTTTCCTTAAATTCACTAAAAGCAAGTTTTTGTAAGTATCTTTATCCGAGTATTTTTCTTTTCTATCTGATATTTCTTTTCCACAAATAAACTAAACAATAAATTTCTCCGTGGGCCAACAGGCTTGATTTGCACTGCCACATAGGGAGCACTTTTCAGAAACTTGTCTCCACATTCTGTAATTTGACAATATAAAATAAACAAAAATCTGCAGAAAGGAAAATAAAAGAAGAAGAAGATCACAAYGTTGGGAATTGGAAGTATTATTGCCATAAATTCCAAGTCAACCAGAAAAAAAAAAAAAGAAAAAGAAGAAGTTTTGAAAGGCTCAATCATTAGAGCCTGTACAACTAATATTGCAAAACTGGAAGAAGAAAGAAAAAGAAAAAAAAAATCATTTTGTTGTATCGTGTCAATATTATTCAAAAAATGGGTATGAAAACCAAAAGAAGCTCCTACAATCCAATATCTAATCTAATTTCCCACCAAATGGAAAAAGAGGAGAAATAAGAAATAGGCCAACCAGGGAAGAAGAAGGATCAGACTTCCATTAAAGAATCTCGAATTAGCCTACAAAAAAGGGAATCCCAGATGGGTGTGTAGTGTTTTTGGCGATCTCTAAATATGGGTGGAGAATTAATATAATTTGGTCAGAGAAATGAAAAATTGGGATTATGGGAAGTTATCCGGGAATGAGTTGTCGTGGAAGAAATCTTGGGGTGAAAAATTGGGTAAACCATAAGGAAGATGAACAGGATTTTGATTGAACGTGGGAAGAGGGGGCGGTTCCACAGTACGCCACGTATAAGAAATTACATCATCCGGCGGCGGCGGCGGCGGTGTCGGCGTCGGCGTGAAAATATTGGGGGAAATGGATGGCAGGGAAGTGGGGGTGGGGGAGAGGATCCCCGGCGGAGAATGAGGCGCCGTCGTGGGTTCGGGTTCGGTGACGTCGACGGAGGAAGTAGAAGCGGCGGCGGCGGCGGAGGGGTGGTAGCCGGTTTGTTGTTGGACGTAGGCCATAAAGTCAGCGGCGGGGACGTTCTTAACCTGTGGGGAGAGTTCGTAGATTACGAGGGGCGGTTGCCGGCGTTGCTGGTGGTGGTGGCGGAGTTGGAGGGCACGGGACGGCGGAAGCGGCGGCTTCTTGATCTTTAGAGAGTCTTTGGCGACGGAGAGGGCGGCGGGGCGGGGGCCATTCAGTGGAATTTCTTTTCTTCTCGGAGGGGAACCCATTATTGAATTTAATTTGAGGGGTAAAATCAAAATGAAATGGGTTTCTCTGTCTCTTTCTTTTGTTTGAAGTTTATATTTTTATAACACAACACAAACACCCATTCCGATTTCTGATTCTGATTCAGCCCACCCATTAGAGTTGAAACAGTCCAACCCAAGTCTTCTTTGCCACATCATCCCATTTTTTCATGCTGACCTGGTATGTATCTACATTATATTTTCCTAATTCAATCCACGTCACTTCATTTCATTGCTTCCTTTTCTTCTTCTTTTTCTTCTTCTTTTTCCTTTAAAACAATGTGTGGTGTAGGGATTCGAACTCGTTACTTTTTTGTTGGAGATTTGTTGTTAACTAATTGAGCTTACTCTTTGTTTATGCAAGAATTTGCACAAGGTTTGACCTAATCAAGGTTAAACTCAGATGTCAGTAATCTCGAACTACCTGCATAAGTGAGCAAAATCTCTGACGCTCGAGTCAGTTAATAGTTCGGACTTAATAACAAGTTTGAGGAGAAATTTGATACCCAGGGTAAGACTGAGGCCCTCTATTTATAGGTGTGGGGTTCGACAAACCTCACGACCGGCGATTATTATTGTCGAGTTGCAGGTCGAACCTGTCGGGTTGTTCAAATTGAACCCGAGTAGATCGAACTATYGAACAAACATACAAGTCAGGAAAGCGGCTAAGTCCCCCACCTCGACAGGTTCGAGGTGGAGCTGTCAGTTTGAATAATTCTTCTTCGGGTGAATCTACACGTGGCACGACAATTTCCTCTCTCACACTCTTTTTATATCATTAACAAAGTTTTTCCTATGCCAAAACAAGTATAGCTCAGTGGTAGTTGACATATATCTCCAACAAAAAATTGTGGGTTCGATCTCCACCYCATATATTTTACTAAAAAAACAATATTTTTCCTATGCATGTAATGCAKCGTATTYCTTACTTAGATGCTTAAAAATCTTAGTTAATAAAACTATAGGCTAATGAAAATACATATCATGTCAGAAAATCACTTGCAGCACATAAGTAAGTAGCATAGTATTGATTTTTAATTTTTATAATTAAGTTTTTCTTTTCTTGTCAAAAGTTACCTATAGGTARGGGTGTTTGTGGGTGATTTTGGTAAAATTGATTTTTAAGGTATTGTTTGAATGGTGATTTAGAAAAATCAATTATATTGAATTTTTTTTTTCAAAATCACTAATTTTCCAATCACTTCTAATCACACTCTTAAAATGTTACGTTTGTCSAAGCGATTTCAACATTAAGTCAACTTCCTTTAAGAAAACATTAAGTTAATTGAGTAAAGTTTAAGTGATTAGATATTTGAGATATGGTATTTTTCATTTTATAGATTTGTAAGTTTAAATCCTCACGTTTTTATTAATTATTCATTTTGCAAATTCTAAAAACTATTTATGAAATATTAGAAACGTTGATAATAGATAAACATGATAAAGTAGTATTGATAATGGTCAATTTAATTATAACTTGACGGTTGGTATTAGTAACTTAATTATTTTGGAGGATTATATTCTTGATTGAAAAAAAAAATTAAAGCAAGTTCATATATATATTTTTACATATTAAATTCAATTAATTTTGTATGTTTTTTTGATTTGATCATATGCCCCTTTAAAAAGCTATCCATGGATTATTGACAATATTTAATTCCTTTTTGATGGATGGATATATGATATATTCTTGATTGAAAGAAGGGAAAAAAAAATCAAAGCAAGTCGTTTTTAAAAAGTGTCAGAAAATAACATAATGTAAATATATATAGGGGAAAGAGTTGAAAGTTTACACCATAAAATTTTCAATTTTATCRATTGAAATATTAAACATAAATATTATAATTAATAATTTAAAATTAAATCTGAAGATTAATGAAACGAATAAATATAAATCAAATAAAATATAACTAAACAAAACACAAAAAGATTAAATCATGTTAAAGAGATGTTCAAACTCAATCATAAAAATATTCGAATCTAACTATAAACAAATAAAAATGTTTAAACTAGCAACAAAATAGACTAGTTAAAACTTAAAAGTATCCCATGTAGAAGAATGCCTATATAAATAATCTCATTCAACTATAATAATCCTATAGTTAATTACAAATATTAAAATTTTTAACCTATTAAAAGAATTAAGATGCAGCACATATTCAAATATAAGTATTAAAAGTGATGAAATTGAAAGCTTTAAGGTTAAAATTGATTTGCTTAATTAAGTTGGGGTTAAAATGGAAGTTTTTCCTAAAATATATATTGGTACATTTTTGTCCAATAAATAGTAATGTTTTGTTTTTCTTTTTTCTTTTTAATAATATTTTACCTAAGTACTATGGATGGTAGTTGTTTCGAATTTGGCGTGCGTAGGTTCAACTACCCTCTTATCTGTTATTTTTTTTATTTGTAATTTTAAAATAAAGGATATGCTAATTCAAGATTTAAGTATCCATACAATTGATTCTTAAATTTAATCAATGTTAATTTTGATAAGTTATTATCAGATATAGATATTATTAAGCACACTTGAAGGTAAATTGGGTCTAATACGTACAACTAGATCAATTAATCATTACTATATTAAATAAATACACAAATCATAACTTCAATCAATTAATTATCGTCAAAGCGAACATAGTTAAACAGTAATTAGTATGTATTTCCAACTACGAGGTCGTAAGTTCGATCCTCTCTGTCTATTGTATTCCAACAAAAAATCAATTAATTATCAATCTCAAATTTTTATTTTCATGAAATTTAAATTTAAATATAAGTATTAAAAGATTAAAATTTTGAATAAGTGTTGATACTTTTATTTATCTTTTCTTGAACTTGGTTTAAATTGGCACTGTTGATACTTGTTCTTTAAAAATTAAGTGTTGGAATGCGCTCCAAAAGGTTAAAAATTAGATAATAGAAAGAGTGACCAAAAATTATCTTGATCATTCTCAAATTAACAGGAAGTTTTAATTGTTGTTGGTCCAAAATCATGATGGATTTCAAATGGAATTATGTTGTTTATTGGTACCGTATGATTTTAAATGATTTTATCAGATTTCAAATCCCGTTCTACATGAAAAAATTTCGGATCAAAATGATCAAATTTGTACAGGATTTCATCACATTTTAAAATAAATAACTTATTTAACCTTTTTTATATTTTAATTTCTAATTAATAAATTTATATTAAAAGTTCAAATCAATAAAATTTTTATTTTAGGGAACATCCAAATAAAAAAATTTAATTTAATTCATTTTAAATCATTGTGTTCCAAACAAGATAAATAATTTAAAATCATTTTTCGAATTTCAAATCATGAAATTTAAATAATTTATTAAATTTTCTTGATGCTAAATGGAGGGTAAAAATTAATTGTCTCTTAAAATTAGTCGAAGTGGGTATAAGTTGATCGAGATATTAGGATATTAAAAGAAAACTGTATTTGTAAAAACTATTTAAAAAAGAAGCCCTCTATTTTTTTAGAAAAAAAAAATAATAATAAAATACTCAATACGTGTGAATTTATACATTTTCACAAACAGTATGGAAATAAGAAAAGTCATAAGTCTCTCTCGGTAAACCACGTGGAATTGTCAATTACTAAAAAGAAAGCTGTAAAAAAATTATTAATTGTCAAAATGGATGAACATAATTAATATAGTAAGTAATTACGTCCACACCATTAGTTGTTCAGTCAACTTGATTAATTTTGACTAATTTATTTTATTACATGATTTGTTGGGGTTTCATTACATTAGAAGTCGTCAAACACAAGTTCTTCTCGATTAGTTTCAATTTTAATTATTGTTGAAATTATTTAGGAAAAAAATTGTATTAGAGGAATCTACTAATGTATGAATTTATAATTCTAAGTTTATTGTCTATAATAGTATAATTACAAAAAAAAATCAAATAAATTAAAGAATTTGATTTAGCGTTCCTTATTTATTACCCGCCACACAAATGAATGTATATAAAACATTTTCTAATTATATATTTTAATATGATGACGAAGTCTAAGGTTTCGGATCTAGTTAGTCCCAATATTCTATTGCATCTCATACAATCTAAAGGACAACATAATATCTCAAGTCGTTTTTTAGATGAAAGATTGCCGGTAATATATCACTACAAATTCATATAGGTTTTTTCGCCATGCTTCAACTTGAATGCATTTAAATAATAAAAGTATATGTTCACAACATTCTTATGCGAGGCAATCTCGAGTTGTCAAACTTGCAAGTAGTTGTTTATTGGATAAAAATAAGGATTGTTTTAGTGATATTTAATGAAAATAGGAATGTAAATGGAAGAGGAATTTGGAAGTTGTATTAAATTTTAGAAAAAGTTAAATTCTAAATTAATACAATTGTTATGATTAATTATGTGGTTGAGTGTGTTTAATTTCAAGTCATATTTAAAATATCCCTATTAAATTTATGGTCCAACCACCTCTACAACACAACACAACCAATCAAGATTTCCCACTCAGTTTTACCTTTTCTTTTTCTCATCCCCACTAATTTGCAGTGGAGCTTAGAAGATCATATAATAAGATAAGGTAAGAGAAAACTAATTACTATATAAATTATTTATACGGCTTAGAACATTTAAATTTTCTTAAAATGGAAACATACTGAATTTGGACGAGTTAACCATCTAAACCGAACTAACCAACTGGTTGAGACATATATATATATATCATCCATCAAAAAAATTGATGGTTCAAATTTTCACTTCTATGTGTTGTTGAATTTGAAAAAAAAAATTAGGACGAGTTCATGTATTGTGGAAGTTAAACGAAACCGTTTGGACCGTCAAACTCAAGTCAATTGAAAAGCCGGTGAATGGAAAAGTATTGAAAACCTAAGAAATTTGAGAGTATATATATATATATATATGTATATATCATCCATCAAAAAAATTGATGGTTCAAATTTTCACTTCTATGTGTTGTTGAATTTGAAAAAAAAAATTA